CCAAAACCATACACCATATATCCGCTGCTACAGTAATCTTGTTATGATAAAAACAACCATTTCCAGGGGGGGAACTAAATACTGCTAAGGTAATTCCCAAAGTGCAAAATAGCCATTTCCAACAACATAAGCATGTTCAGCAAACCATGACCAGCAAAGCAATCTCTAAGAAAAAAATATATTGAGCTGAGAAAACATATATGGTATCTTTAAGAAGTCTAGACTTTCGTAACATGCGGACAATGTTAAAAAATGGACCTCTATCCATTCTCAAGTAGTCATATGCAAATGTTCTGCCGCCATAAAACAATCGGTGGATATAAGTATTTCTCAATGAATCTCTCAACTCGGTTGGTTCTCTAGGAGTTACTTCTCTTTTATTCTGCAAACAACATAAAGTAAGCACACACTATACATGCCACATATGCAACAAAGCAACTCAGTGTAGCATCTCTAGTTTTTGAAGGTTCCATATTCTACATAAAACAAATAAAACAATGTTATAAAATTAAAAAAATCAGCTCACGTGGTTATTAAAAATGGCATTCTCTCCATATAACAAATAAAACAATGTCCCTAGCACATATGCTTGATAATGTGACCAACTCATATTAATACACAAGTGAAATGGTAAAGCTAATATGTTCAGTACAACAAGGAAAAAATTGTAGCAGTCATGCAATAAACAACTCTGAAAAAATTCATACAAAAAATTATTTCAAGAGAGACCCTCATTTTCATTAAGGAAGCAGAACAAAATAAATTATACAGAAACTAGAATTTTGACACGTTCAAATATATGTGAGAAGAAAAAAAGGGAGTTAGAACTTTTTAATTTGAGCTGCCATCTAAAAAATGTGACTACAAGTTTTTAGTTCACTGTATACTTTCTCAAGGACCAAATTCACTAGACAAAAAGAAATCAAGTGTAGGAGGAAGGATTAATATAAAAGGGCGTGTATTCAAGGGAGAAGCATGCACGCATGACACTACTCATATGAACCTGTTAAGAATTACTCTAGCAAACTATTCAGTTATGGCTAACAATGTATATCAAGCTAACATAATTTCTAAAAGCATGTGAAAATGGGATGTTAAGTCACATAGAAAGATCCCCAGTTTGGTAGATCTAAAAAGTACAAAGTATAAACTGTCCATAAGCTGAGTATAATTGTACAAAAAAAATGTTCTCAGGCAGTTGTTTTCATCAATATATATAAGCACAGTCGCAACAATATGATGTAAAATCCAGAGTAATAATGTTCACAGTTGGTTGTCCTTAGTAAAAGTTACCTGACATTAGTATGATTATGAATATTGGTTCATACCTTCACTATTGAGTTTAAGAATGATATACGTTTCTAGCAAACATCATGTTAGCAAAAAAAAATTATACAATTAACAAGTCAAAAAACTAGTGCATAATATTTATAATAAAATCAAGTCACACAATAATCTAGTTGAAAAACCAGTCTAACCTGTCCCATGAACATCCCTAATGAAAGTATATACCCTTATAATATGTTAATAGCATAAAACAATTAAAAGAAATCATGATTTCAAGATTTCTTACAGCTTGGTCAACGCCATAGTGAATAATCTGTTTAAAATAGCAACACTCTTGAAAAAAATGCACTTTTTCTTAAAACATTTTTTCTACACCCCTGACATGTTAAGAATATGCATCTTATGCCGAACAATATTATCAGGCATTTGATGAAGCGATTGCGGAGCTGGACACTCTTGGAGAAGAATCCTACAAGGATAGCACCCTCACAATGCAGCTCCTTAGAGACAACCTCACCCTTTGGACTTAAAATAGCAATAGCATGTTGGACAACAACTCTCTTAGCAATCCAATATGTTGAACAGAAATATGGTTAAATGCATATTAATGGAGAATCGAAATAATTGACCTTGATAGAAACCCCTGTGTTCTAAAAGACTTTAGAAATTGAACCATTACTAAAAAATCAAGCTTTATGAAAGATTTGTACAAGTAATATGGAAATATTTCATGAATTTAATTACAATAAAGATCAAATTCTTAACTTTTACATACCTTTTATGTGAAGCCAAGATGAAGAACGATGAAGAAGGAAGGGGATTTTTTGCCGCGAAGACGGCGGGGAATAGAACCGCGAGTTTGAGGAGGAGCAGGCGAAGATGGCGAAGTCGTTGGGCGAAGCCGGTTGGATTTTGATAGAAGGGAAAGGAGATGGCGAAGTCGGTTGTGATTTTGATAGAAGGGAAAGGAGATGGTCGGTGGGTTTTGAGTATAAAGATAAGGGTGAAGTCGGGTGAAATTCTAATTACAGTTTTGAGTAGCGTTTTTTTCCCGGTGGACCCCACTTTTATCAACTTTGGTGGTTTTTCAGAGTCCTTGAAGACGGAAAATTTTCAAGGAAGTGAAGATGCCATGTAGACTCCACGTCATCAGTTAAGAAAGTAGCGAAAGTAGATTTTTAAGAGAAACAAACATATATTTTTACCTAGAAGTAGGGGAAGTAGCATTTACTTCCTCTACTTCCGCTATTTCACAGTCACTTCAGGGCAAACAAACGGGCCCTTATAGGAAACGGAAGATGAGACTTTCTATAAATATAATAACTTCTACAATTCGTGGTTTGTATTTCTTAGGGGGGGTTAGTCACCTAGAACTTTTTAAGTAGAACTGGGATAATTAGTAAATTAGGATAATTTTTTAACACTGGGATAATTTAGTGGAACAATGATGGATAATTCTTAAAGTTGGATAATTTGGTAGGATAATTTGATGGGATAATGGTGGATAATATTATGAAAGGGATAATTTGGTGGGGGTAACAGTGAGTATAAATTATTATTGTTAATAATTGTATATTAAAAATAATATAAGATTGATAAGCAATTGATTAGTTTAGTAATAACTATAAAATATAATGCAATAAAACATCACTATTCATCTCAAATAATAAAATATTTTACAACTAAATAAAAATCTAAATTCCTAGAGTGACTCGACTTCCATCATCCCACATGGCCTCTGCCATAGAATTTCTCCAAGCTCCCGCAGCTGCTCGTTGAGTCTGTTGAGTCTGTAACTCATCTTCTTCATCGGAGTCATCATCTGCATCAGCAACATTTCGTGGAGCTTCTAGAGGAAGATCATAAATGTCAAAGTCATCATTTGTATTCTCCAATCTTAAAAAGTTATGTAATCCTACACATGCAACGAACATCTTTATTTGTGTGGCATACAGAAAACCTGGAGGTTGGCTCTTGAAAATAGTGAATCTTGACTTAAAAACTCCAAAGATGCGCTCGACACAATTTCTAAGAGACGCATGCCGATGATTGAAAACTTCTTTTGAATTTCGTGGTCGTTGTCGATTATTAGCTGGGCCGAACTCTGAAAGATGGTACCTTTGACCTCGGTATGGAGCAAGAAATTGTAGCCTATTTGGATAGCCGCAGTCAACTAGATAAAATTTATCTGCAAACAAGAATAAAAAATATGAATGATAAAAAATATTATAAAACTAAAAAAATATTCCTTAATTGATAGAATACTATGTAAAGATTATTACTCTGTGGAAGTGGAAGTCCATAAGGTCTACTCATTGCATCCTTCAAGACTCTTGCATCATTAGCAGAACCCTCCCACCCAGCTAAGACATAAATGAATTTGAGATCAAATGTGCAAGCTGCCAAGACGTTCTGAGAGAGAAAACCATGTCTATTTCGATATGGCGTCTGATCTATGTTATACACCATGCACGATATATGAGTCCCATCTATTGCACCGATACAGTCCTGAATAATCAATGTGTCAGACCATCTCAAGTGATGTGTGTGGGGGCACGCACACATGTGTGCACGTGTGTGTGTCTGCGTGTGTGTAAATTCTAAAGCAATAATAATTACCTTGAAATAAGGCCAAAAGCGAGATTTTGATTTAACCTTATCAGGTGGATCAGTAGGGGTGATGCCATCAAGCATGATGCTAAAGATACCAATGCATGTAATGCTTTATTGAAACATACACTGATGGTCCATTTTGAACGATCAAATCGATCAGTTGCAACAGAGTACCGTTGATTTTGACTAACCGTGAGAAGAAAAATAGCAATCATCTCCTCAACACTAATGTGGTATGTGTCTTGTATACGGCCCCGCTCTCTCAAGATATTGCATAACTTCATGAAGCAATCTGGGTACATACGGTAAATTCTACGAAAATCTTGAGGATGATTATCCATCTTGGACTGTAAGTATGTGAGACCAAGATCTGTAATACCACATCGAGGACTTCGAAAATTAAGCGTATTTGCTATGAACTCCCTTGATAGACATCCTGATACCTTTGTGATCAGATCTGCAGCCTCAGCAGCTAATTCGATTATGCGAATCAAAAGATTATCATCGAAGTCTTCGTGATGAAAATATAAAATGGGCAAATTTTGATCTTCCTCCATCCTATTAAATAATATAAACAATGAAATATAATCAATTTACATGAAAGTTATGTGCATAGGAAATAAATAAAGCACTCTATTATTAGCACACAATGAGATTGATAACAACGTAGCAATCAATTAAAAAATGTTGATATGTATGCTAATCGTTAATCACCAAACTACTGAAAAATAGAAAAAAACATAATATTGCACTACTCTCATCTACACATACAAGAATCATTTGTTGGGATGATACATATAATAGAAACTTCATCCATTAAATGCACCAAACTAAGATAGCTGACAAGTCAAATAACATAAGAACATAATATAAACAAATAAATAAAAGCATAGCAATATCCTAAAAATAAATAGTTTTGACAAATTGAAATGAAATTGATCCTAAAAATACTTTCCAAATATTTAAAACAAACATGACATTATCCCAAGTTCCACTTACTCAATGAAAAATAGTTTGACAATATGAAATTCCACACAATCCTAACACCATAACAAATCTTAAAAAACATATAAATATCCTAAACTTCTAAATTACTGCCTCTAAACATCTCCAAGGAAATCAGAATCATAATCTTCACCATTTGGATCAGAATTGGCTTGAGTCCCATCCTTACCATCATTCATTATCACACCGGTCAACCTAAAATGTAGAAACTCATAGCGGTCTTTTGCATCCATGTCAATAAAGGCATCCTTTATGTCCTGTGAGATATTGTCACTGAGTATATTCCATTTTTGTAGCTTAGTCAATTCAGAAGTAGACATAACATCATCAACCCATTCTTTATTCCGACCTTTTCTTATCTTCCTCAACTCATCAACTAACTCATGAAAAGCTTTACCTACAGTGACAACTCTCTCTCCTACCTCTTGCAATGATAATTGGGAAGATGCAGAAGATGTGGCTGCAGTACCAATTGACCTACGCCTTCGTTTACTATTATTCAGATTGGATGGTCCAGAACCAGAAAATGGCACATTATCACTGGGAACGGTGGTAGCATGTTGCACTTCTACAGTAGCATCTCCTCCATCCAGAGATTCCATCTCAGCATCAGCACCAAGTATTCCCTCCCCAACCACTTCCTCTAAGCGTGCTTCATCCAAGCCATCAGGACCTAAACCTATAGCTCCTTTGCCAGAAGCGCCATGATCTCCGCATACCATTAATATATCCTCAAAATTCTCGAAAAGTTTATCCTTGAGATTTGGAGTATTTGAACGTGCCTAAAACATGACATATAAAAATAATTAATATTATGTTCAAATTAATATATATGAAACATGACATAAACCAACCTCTAAAATGCCATTCCACACTTCGTCGGGACATGTAAATTTCTGTGTGGTAGGGTCCCAACCAAAAAACCTCTAAAATGCCATTCCACACTTCGTCGGGACATGTAAATTTCTGTGTGGTAGGGTCCCAACCAAAACCAGAGTTATTTTTCATCAGGATCTCCACAGGTGCAATCTTTCTCTTCCATTGCTTTATCTTGTTCATTACATGATTATATCTAAAATCTTTTCCAAATTTTTCAACTAGAGGGGGTATCACATTCTTCAGAATCACATACTTTTTAAAACTGCCATTTGCTTGCTTATTTCCATTCTTAACTTCCTCTACTAACAGTCTAAGCAATTCGTTAGCCTCTGCTTCAGTCCATGTCATATAATCCATCCTTGCTCTTTTCTGTCCCTCACTTTCTAGACCTCGAAATATTTCTTCTTGATCCTGACTCTGTGATCTTATGTCCATCCTATAACAAATTCAAAAATAACTTTTCAAAATCTCAAATACGGAATTGCATTAAAATATTGGTGATGACAGACTAAACATGATGGTTAACAAAGTGAGCTTGAAGTTGCACAAACAACAACATAAACTTGATCATAACAGTTGTAAATTCATGGATCATGCTAACATATTTCATGGATCATGCTAATATATTTCAGCTAGTATTATTAGCACTTAGTTGATTGTTGTGCAAATATGGTGGAAGCTTAATATCATATATTTAAGCAGTATCATGTTCTAATTATAAAAGCTTGCATATCATGTAAGCTTGCATATCATACACAAGATGTTATGAAATTTTTGTCTATTGCAACATAAACCCTAACTTCATATAAACCCTAATCATAAAAGCTTGTGTATCATATAAACCCTAATTTCATGTAAACTTATTTTTTGTCTATTGCAACATAAACCCTAATTTCATATAAACCCTAATCATAAAAGCTTGTGTAATGGCTTGTCCACTTTTCTCAGCATGTGGATCCGATGAGAGGATCAGATTTAGACCCGTATAAATTAAATAATTTTTTTTATCAAACAGAAAGAATTATCTAGTGATTTTTATTTATTGGATAATCGGTGTATCTTAAGACGTACGAGGACGTTCTTGTTTTTTCACAAGGATTAAATGGTGTAGTTGAGAATTTGTATATTAATTTCAAAAACTATTAATTTTATTCTTAAAATATTAACTGACTATCAATTAATTGGACATTGATCTGACAAAAAAAATACTTTGACCACCGCTTGGACTATTGATACGTAAAAGCACAGAGACAGAAAAAACCATTAAAATACCAAAGCATTGATTGCTACCTGATCTCGGGGCTTATACATACCAAACCATTAAAATACCAAACCATTAAAAAAACTATTGATACCTAGAAGCACATAGGTTTTCCCCCTCTACCATGAGTCCATTTATACGTATGAAGACACAAAATTAGATGAATAAGTTTGAAATTAAAATCCAAAGCATTGAAGTTAATTTACCTGATCTCGTGGATGGGAAAATCACGGAAGCGCCGTTCACTTTTTTCCCCAATTGTTTCTTTTCAATGTGTGGGATAATTTTTGAGAGGGGAACTTATGGCTATATATATAGGTAGTAAAATTAGTGGGATAATTATGATAAATTATCCCAATTCTAATTCAAGTAGAATTCTACTTGACTAACACACAAAATAAATAATACAATTCTAGTTCTACAAAAGTTCTACTTGACTAACACTATAAAAAAATATCTCATTTTCTAATTCTATGTGACTAACACCTTAAAAATTTATCCCACAGATTATCCCAATTCCAGATTTAAGTTCTAGGTGACTAACCCCCCCTAAGAGAATCTGTCAAATAACCAAATAAATTATGTCACTGTGCGCTGGATATATACCATGTTTTATAAGTTAAGTTGTTACAAAAATTAGTCCTTAAATTATTGAAATTGAATTAGGTCTCCAATTCTTAAGTTTATTTCAAACGGTCCGACCTTGCCCAAAAATCATCATTTGAAGCTCGGACGATGTAATAAAAAAGTTATCTTTCAACCAAATTTCAAGATGCAACTTTAGAGCGTCAAATCTTTCAACTCGTTCAATAGAATCCTTATTATAATATGATATTCGGGTTTAGAGATATTCATCTTTAGGACCACACTGCATGTGAAAGTTTTGGCCTTCTTTAGTCTTATAGTTTTCATGGAAAGTTTTCTGTTTGTTTTAGGAAAGGATAGTTTAATTGTTTTTCATTGTTTTATATACTTTGTGAGGAAAACTAAGTTGTGACTCCTTAGATTGACTATTTAATATATCAAAAAGTTTTCTATTCCTAACATTTGTGTCGTTTTTGTCGTGCGAGATCGAGCAGTTATTTTCTTAGATACGCTTCCGCTATCTCATAGACTTTATTTATACGCAATTGAGAGGAAACCAAATCTGAATACATAACACACATTAAGGCTTTCTATGCATACAACTTCACCTCGAAGAATTATAACTCCGATAACGAGAAAATTAATGAATCAAATAGTATATATTGTAACATATATTTCTTCAGGCAGCGCCTCAGTTCCCATAAAGTTACAAGCAGTTGGAAGCCTGATCCACATTGGCTGTCTCTGTGACCTCCACATCCTTCAGGCAGCGGCGCCTCAGTTCATCCATCTTGATCCCCCCTCGTCACTACTCACCCTGATCGAAGACAGTTCCCATGATATCCTGCAGTTTCTTTGTTCCTTCTTTTCGATTGTCCGTTTAACATATTCTAACTCGAGAGTCCAGATGAACACCCCTCGTTAGCGTGACCTTTCAGCACAAGTTTTCGGAATGCTGGACTCCTAGCTATCTGTTCTCGCGGTTGAGTTCCATAAGGCGAAGACGTCTTCTCCTTCCGCGGATTTACAGTAGGTTCTAATATTATTTCTATTCCCGTGGCCTCCCATTTCCGAAATTAGCCAGTTGCTTCCTTTATCAAGTTCAAATTCGGCTGCAACCAATGTTAATTAAAAATCTGCAACGAAATTCTAAGAATATATTCAAACAACTAAACGTAAATAGACTTCTAGAGATAACTGAAAATTGTTAGTAGAAGAACTTGCATATTGATCCGCTGACCAGGAACCTTATAAAAAGGCAACCTTTTAAGGAAATAATAGCCTAAAAACAAAAGCCTGATTAAAAAGTTTAAAGGAGATCAACAGGAGAGAGAGCAAGAAAATAGATATTTAGTGATGAAACCGCCAGGGAACCGAGAGGCTGTATTTATAGAGGAGATTGAGATACGATTCTGTTGTTTAATCGTTATTAATTAATGCAATTTTATATCATGGTTACTTATGCAGTACTCTTTAGTTAGATAGTGACGAAACAAGGATTCTCTTGAAGTATACTGAAGATTTCATGATGAAGTTTATTGTTGAAAGAATCTGCCGTGGTGATTTGTTTCAAAGTTTGACTTCATTGAATGACGTCCTGGGTTTCATACTCAAATTGATCTCTTTATTTTATTTTATTTTTTTTTTCAACTTGGTCTAATGGTGTTCCATACTTAAATTGATTCCCTACCTTATTCTTTCTCAACTTAGTCTATGTATTGGGGCTCTATGCTCAAATTGTTCCCCCTTTACTTTATTTTAACTAACCCCAGGTAACTTTCAACATCACGCTTAGATCTCCAAGAACTTTCAAAAGTTCTCTTACACAATCACATAAAGCCCCCAATAACTTCCAAATCACACTGAATTACCAATAAATCATTTTTTTTACCACAGCCGCCCATTTCCAAGAAAAGTCTGAATCCTCTTTTGTCATGTTCAAACTCTACTGACAATATACTGAAGAAATGCAGGAAACAACAAAGAATCAGCCAAGCAGACTGGCGGTCGACCGCCGCGGTCGACCGCGAACCAAAAACAATAATTTTATTAATTACTTAAAATGACATAAATTACAAATAAGAAATGATAAAAACATATTCTTTATTAATAATTGATAAATCAGTTACAAATTACAAGTACAAATTTATTTTGGAATTAATCGCATCACAATAGATAAGTAAATCCCAACTAGGTTGGCACCTACTCACCTATATCACTATCATTTGCAATTATTTCCAAAATAATTCTTTACAAATTGTAAGCTAAGATATAAAAACTACAATCTATTCTTTATATCTATCTGCTAGTCCCAATTCTTCAAATTTATCTTCAATTCCAGCCATCCGATCGATGCCTTGCGTTCGCTTCTCGTACCTCCACCAATCTTGTAGGCACATCACCGCTTGTACAGTATATGGATCCAAGCATGTCCTGTGATCGTCGATCAAACGACCTGCTGTGCTGAAGGCGGATTCCGAAGCTACCGTCGAAACCTGCACTGTTAGTAAGTCACGAACCATGGTGGAAAGTATAGGATATGAAACTGATCCATATACTTTCCACCATTGCAAAATATCTAAAGCATTTCCTTGACATCTAACTAAAGAAGCAGAAAAATATTCATCTATTTCAGAAACCTCCGATGATGACGATCCAAGTCCAGATCCACCAGTTAGCTCGGCTACCATTGCATACCTATCAAAACTTACACTTTTACCTCGGGCTCGGGATGAGCTCGAAGAAACCGAAGCTGCAGACTGTTGTGCAGCTACACCATGTCTAGCTGCATACTCATCATATAAAGTTTGAAAATAATTTCTAATAGCTAAATGATGAGTAGTAGCAGTAAGGGTGGTTCCATCATCTAAGTCTATAATCTGATTACCATACAAGGATTGTAACAAACTTCGAAGGACAATATCCTTCAAGCATGGATCAATAAGAACCCCCAAACCAAAAATATGAGGAATAGGTCTAAAGTACTTATTAAATTTTCTCTCCATTTGAAAAATCATAGGTCCAAAAGTATCATTCATACGATATTTCCCAAAAAAAATTTGAATATTTAAAATTTGTAAAGCAGCTAAAGTAATGGTTGGATAATAACAGCCAGATAATAACATTGTAGCATCATAAAAAACTTGTAACATTTTATTTAAATTACATATAATTGTCCATTCATCTTCAGTTATTCCATAAGTGCTACCAGAACTAGAACTAGAAGCATAATAGTTTATAAAATCAGTTATAATGTCTTTATATTCTATTGCTACACTTAACATTGCATATGTGGAATTCCACCTATGGTCAACATCTTTTGGAATTAGTCTAG